GTAGCTTGTGGTTCGAATGGTTACAGTTAACTGCTAATAAGCTAGCGTTTCCATGGTTCTTCGAATCCATACGCCGCACACTGGTAGGTTTCCTACGGGCCTCTACGAGGAAACAGGGGGGGAAGAACAAAATAACGCAAAAACCTCAATTCCCAACGGACRAAACAACCAAAGACGAAAAATTTGGGGTCACACTTGCTCGCACTTTACTATCTACCCTAGGTATAGTGACTGACCCAACTCTATGCGACCACAAAATACTTACACCAACGTCAACATCCACACCTTCAGGTACAAATAACACAATACTCCCAGGACTTACCACGCTATCACAAACCAACAGCCCACACACGATTGCAAACACGCGCCCAACTGAGCTGCTTGTCCCCATCAAACTCAGCAACGTCCAGCCTGGAGGGAAGCTACGTTTCAGTACTGTGTCTACCACAAAACACTTAGAACTCAACGAGTTCACCAAAAACTTAATACTKGGCTACGAAGCTTGCTTACAATACAGCAAATCAACATGGTGGAAATGGGACAATGGATCAACACTATTATTCTGGAGATGGCCAACAACGACCTCCATAAGAGCCGCTCGCGATGGCTTCCCCCTCTTCGTGAGGAATAATCGACTACCTAGCTATAAACCCAGGCAAAGAAAACCAACTGAGGAAATGGCGGAAAAAATAGGGGACAAKGTAAGCGATGTTCTAAGAAAAACATACATTGCTCCGATAGATGCAACAAAAAGCAACATAGACTTCTTCGGAGTACCCAAAGGAATCGGCGAGAATGGGGAAATACTTGACATACGAATTGTCTATAATGGAACCAGCTGTGGTTTAAATGATGCAGTATGGTCCCCAAATTTTTGGTTACCGACACCGAACACCGCTATCAGACAACTGTCGTTTGGATACTGGGTAATGGATTTAGATCTAGGCGAGATGTTCCTCAACTTCCCTGTCCCAGCAAACATGAGGCCTTATTTGGGGGTATCTCTAGGTCAAATATCTAAGAACATCAAACATGTCGATCCCAAAATTATGAAACACAAAACACCAGTTGCTTGGACCAGATTATTAATGGGATTCAGGCCAAGCCCTTTCTTTGCGATCAAGTTTTACTACCACGCCGAAGAATTCATAATCGGGGATAGACGAGACAAGAACAACCCCTTTCGATACCATTCGGTAATATTAAATCTACCAGGAATGGAGAAGTTTGATCCAAGACAACCATGGGTAATGAAATGGGATGAAGAAGCCAAATGTATAGCAGCAGCCATAATAACCTTTGTCGACGACGTGAGGGCCTCAGGAGCCAGCTCGGAAATAGTCTGGCAAGCAGCACAGAGGCTGGCAAAATACCTGCAATATCTAGGGATTCAACATGCCCCGCGGAAATTAAGGCCCCCCTCTTACACGAACACAGGAGCCTGGGCCGGAGGAATCACCGAAGCCTCGGATGATTCAATATTCAAGTCCGTCACTCAAGCAAAATGGGACAGAATTATCCCGATAATAGATAGAATAGAGAATGATCTGGCTACTTCAACGGATCATTCCCTAGACTACAAACAACTAGAAAAGGACAGAGGGTTTCTAGTACACGTGGCGATGACTTACAAAGTTATGAATGCACATCTAAAGGGGATACACCAAACTATAGATTCATGGAGACCTAATCGAAATGAGGATGGATGGAAGATGACAGCTAAGGAGTGGACTGACAAACTAGCAGCTATAATCGATGACACTGTACGAGACCAGCTTATCGAATCTCACACCAGAGGACATCCAGCTCGAGTGTTCCCTGCTAAAAGATTGCAATCTGATTTGACAGCACTCCGCAAGTTCTTCTCAAGAGAAACACCGACCAAGGTCTCGATGAGAGCGAGCAGAATTTACCAAGTAAACTATGGGTTTGGTGATGCATCAGGAGAAGGCTTTGGAGATAACTGGTTAACACCAGATGGGATATCCTATCACCATGGGACATGGAAGCCAGAAGTATCGGATCAGTCTTCAAATTTCAGGGAATTCTGGAATGTCCTCGATGCTATAGATCGAGAGGGAAAGGAGGGAAGGCTTACGAATGCCTTCCTCATATTCGCTACTGATAATACAACGGTGGAGGGCGCCATATTTAAAGGAACGAGCAACAGCCCCAAGCTTTTGGATATGGTCATAGAATTCCACACACTTCAGATGAGATACGGATTCGAGGCCATTGTAACCCACGTGTCTGGCTATCGAATGATTAAACAAGGAGGCGATGGTCTGTCCCGAGGAGCTTTAAATGAGGGAGTAATGGGAGGAGCCAGCTATAGGTCCTTTATTCCCTTCCATTTATCAAGTCTCACCAGAGAACCCAAACTGCGAGCTTTTATAAGCGATATAACCCGGGGGAATGATACTCTGCTTTTCTTATCTCCAATAGAGTGGTTTGAGAGAGGTCACGATATTGCCGGAGGGAACATAGGCTCTGACGGCCTCTGGCGCCCTATCATTATGCATGGCACATATATTTGGGACCCTCCTCCGGCGGCCTGTGATGTGGCCCTCGAAGAACTAAGAAAGGCCCGAATCAAAAGACACGACTCAACGCACATAATCCTGTGTCCTCGGCTAATGACTCCCCTTTGGTTGAAGCAAATGTTTAAGTGCTGTGATTTAGTTATTACCATACCCCCTTGTTGCTCATGTGTGAACCCTGTGTTCTGGGATTCTGCTTCCCTTATCTCAAATGTCCCCCGTGGTCTATAAGGGGAACGCCGAAGATGCTCCAGCTACACAGGCAACTGTCGAAGATGTGGAAGACAGACCAAGTGGGCCCAATCGCTATTCTGCATGAACTATATGTGGTCAGTAGGAGGCTTCCCAAGATGCCATGGAACCTGGTGCGCAAAGTGTTATTCTTCGAGTGATAAAGTAAGCTTCTTTAAGCTACAAACACCCGCTGTCTTTCATCCGCAGGCAGAAACTAATAAGAAGTGGAAGCAAAGGCGCCTGGATACAAAGTCCTTTGAAGTTGCACGGCCAGGAGACCACATACTCACTCCTTTTCAGTGTGATCTATGTGCTTTCAGAAGAATGAAACAAAGGGATCCAGACCGTGGTTCAACAGCGGACGACTTACTATTGATCTACATCCGCCGAGCAAATTTGGATTCCTTTTGGAGCAGAGCTACAAGCACAGTAAGTGCTACGCGAAACACAGTGCAAAGAACAATCCTTTCTTTATCCAAATTTGGTCTGGAGGGCCCGTTCTACGATCCAGGACCATCTTCCCCATACGACAGCTTTGGATATGAAACAGCAGTAGCTGTGTTAGATGATTCACTCAAGAAAGGAAAATATTCAGCGGATCACAAGCAATGGGATTCCATACGGCGAGTTAAGACAGCTATAGGGAATTTCGAAAGAGTAAGCACAGATCCAGTATTTAAAGGTGCTTCCATAGTCAGTGATGATAAGGGACTTGCCAGTCGATTACACGTAGGAGGAGCATCTTCATTCTGGCAGCAACGCTTCCTTGCTGGATGTAAGGCACGAATGGGAGTAGATAAACGGCCTAACAGTGCCCTTAGTGTGGACCTGTGGAAGCTCATACTGGATCAGTGTTCGCGGAATATTCTAACTAAATCCACCGTAAAGGAAAGAGACTTATGGACCATGGCTGGGGCTTTTCTCGCTTTCGGTTATGTCCTATCACTAAGAGGCTCGGAGGGCTTCCTGATGGACATTTTCTTGTTAAAGAAACATGACCACTTGAAGCAGGGCTTCGTATGGCTCCCCATTTATGGGAAACTCAAAGGGGGCCTATCGCCGAACACCTATCTTATGAGAGCTGTTCCTATTACCGGGTCCGGGATCAACATTAAATCGTGGAAAGACAAGTTAATTGAATTACACGACAGAGCTAATAGGAAAGTAGGACCAGCCTTCTGTGACGAAGATGGATACATCTTATCCAGTCAGTCAATGAATGAGCTGCTGTGGGAAGCAACAGAAGATGTTTATCACGAGAACCCTGAACTGTTCCCCAGCTCTATCTCCTCTATCGATGATATCAAAACATACATCCAAATAGATAGATCCATGAGACGAACCGCCACCTCGCAAGCTTTAAGAGCCAAAGTTAACAGTGATGACATTGACATAGCAAACAGATGGTCCCGGAAAGAACAAGCGAGGGGACAGGATCCAAGTGAGCATTTAAGACACCACTATGCTCAACAAGACCTCCTTAATGATTGCTTACGACGCTTTCAAGGGAAGTTATGAACACCAGTTCGATTGAACTAAAACAATACACCGAAGGTTACACTTGCCGGGGGGGAATAGTGCTTAATCGAATAAGTCAAAGCTAGAGTCTTGACTATCGATGTATGCCCTGTATTATAATCAGGTGTTCTGGAAACACTGAAGGAGGATCTCTATTCAATAATAAGTGAGCAAGACTCCATATTATGAGCTCTCCAGGTGTAACCGGAGACATTTGATTGTTTTCAGAGTTAAGCCACATATCCAGCTGATTTAAGCCAGATACGTGTTCCTTGGGAGGGGCTATACCCCCCCCGTAGCAGGCAATGGGAATCCACCCAATTCCCCTAGCCTGATTTGCTGAGCTAAAACAAGCTCCAGTGTAAATTAGTGTAAAATTCCATACTACTGTACTTGTGACCAATTTGATTAAAGGAGCTCGGCTCTAGATGGAGGGCCACCAACAGCCAAGCATCCCGTAAGACAATTCGGTTTCTGGGAATGACCCACGCCAAGATTTGATGGGGCGAACTACTTCATATGTAACTCGTACTATTCTGTTCCAAAAAAACTGGGAAAAGATATCGTATTTTCAGTAAACACATAACGTGCGGTTCGTTTCCTAGTCATTTTAGAGCTCGAAAAGGTCCAACTCACTAAGCTCCTGGCGCGCTGTACTCGTCCTATTTACACTTTTTATTAAGCTTTACGATTACGGTCTTTCCGAAAGTCATGGAGTACAAAAAATAACAGTGGTTGTTGTGCTTCGCCACATCGTTCTGCACACGGTCTTCAAGATCTAATGCTGCCCTCAGATTGACAAACGACGGTACCAGTTGTGATTACGAGCGTGGACTAAAGATAACAAATACGTCACGCCGTCTATTTATTCAAGAGCGGTCCGATTTCTATTTTCCTGCTGAGACTTTTTTGAAACGATGGCTATGCATTCCTTCACGAGGCTGCGATCACCTCCTAGGAAGTTTTGCCGTTGCCACGTGCTGTCGCTATCCATATTCCTTTGTATAATTATATCGCTCTCGCAGCAATTATGCGAAGGAAGGCTCAGCGGAAGAGATGAAACGGAAAATGTTGAAGACATTGTGTACCCGAGAGGAGATTTTCTTCCTCTAGCATGCAATGAAAGGTTAGATGACGATCCTTGTATCACTCCCTGGTCCAGAGTCTTTGGAAACCAGCTAGTGTTCCCGACTGCCGTCGAAATACCATGTGGAAAATGCGTTGTGATGTATCCCTTGAAAGATAGACAACGGCTCACGTTTTCTGGTGGCTTGCGAGTTTTAGGAAAACTCGTTATTCACTCAAATGACATCTTCACTACATCTATTCTAGTTCATGGAGAGTTAGTGATTGAGTCCCTAAAACCCATCGACGGTGTTCCAGATGTTTCAATTACATGGATAGATACAAAACCAAATCGCACTCTTTTCTTCCAATCACCAGAAGGCGGAGATGAATCTAACAGTATTTGTGGGGGATCAAGGGGTGCTTGTGGTATGGGACGGAAACCTTTTGTCGTTGCTGGAGGGAAACTCAATATTCGTGGGCTTCCATCGCCCTACATGCCCACATGGGTTCCACTTTACGACGTCGATAGAAGGGTTAGCACGAGCGAGGACCCGTTGGTTTCGATTCCTGCAATAGAGGATACAACGCACAAATATAAACCCCCGAAACCGGGTTGTCCAAAAGATGACTCTCTCATTCATTATGACTATTTGGATTCGGATCTTTCGGACATTTTCAAAGGTTCCTATGGTTCAATATCTACGTTTACACTGAACGGCGGATTAAAAGTTACAAACAGAAGTCACTCGCAGCACTGTCCAGTCATCGATCTCAACCACATCAGAAGATGTTTAGAACCAGATAAACTATACCTCATGACAATGAAAGTCCTGCTGACACGAGATGGCATTGTAGACGAGACTGATTGCGCGAAGGGAAAAGGCGACGATCATTGTATGTCGATATACCAATCAAGAATGTCGGCTAGAGGTATTGGACGCACAACGTCGCTGTGGAAAGAAAGGGAGTCGTTTGGAAGTATGCTTGGTGAGGAGACAACAATTGCGGTTGACTTTAACTTTACGAGCAAACAACTTAGTGAATCAAATATTTACGAGATGATACAGCTGAGAGGTCCGGGCCCAGGGGTTGATATGGAGCTATTAGAGTTTACCTTAAGAGCTCCTCCGAAAGAAGCTTTTCCCAAAAATGTGTGCGACGATTTGGTTCCAACAAACGGCAATGCGGAACTCCTTGGTTTGTCTCCGTATCCCTTTCGAACAAACAATGACGACACTTTTTTGTCAGTAGTGGCCGAAGGAAATAATAACTATTTTGAAGTCACTGGGCGCAAATTTGCGGCGAAAAAGGTTAAGAAGGGAAGATCGGCAAACGCTGGTATTACATGGGATATTCCTCTATCCTGCATGAATGCCCATGCTAACTACACTTTTCATGCCGATGTGCGAATGCGTTCTCTTGATCCAGCTAGTTCGGAGTGGAAAATGAAGGCATATTTTCCAGGAAAAAAAAGACCAACTAAGATCGTAGTTGCATCTTGCCCAAAAGGAATGGGAACTTGGGTTGGCTGCGATGGTGAATTCCACGTTTCGGAGGACCTCGTCGAAGCCAATCGTATTGAAATTTTTCTGGAAACCGATGCTTCTTCGTGTGACGTTGACTACGATGTCGACAACTTATCGTTCAAACTCGTTGAACGTTCCGTAGATCATTTGATCCTTCCGAAATCGGTCGAGAATCTTTGGAGTGTCGGTGCTGAAATTATGATCACTTCTCACACTTCAGAATGGAATGGGCATAGTACACGAAGAATAAGTTCAATTGAAAATCACGATGAAGATGGATATGTCAGTGTTGGCTTGAACGAGGCTATTGATGGTCCACTTACTGTGGGTTCACATCCTTTTTACGCAACCGAGGTTGCTTTACTATCACGAAACATTGTATTCAGCGGGGAAGGTGGGGCACACCTAACAGTACTGAAAACGCCAGGTCAGGATCAAATAATTCAAGGTGTAGATTTTAATGGATTTGGGGAAGAGGGTGTTCATCGATCATATCCGATTTATTTTGACTCTTGCAACAATAATCCAAACTCAATTGTGTCCAAAAACACTATTCGTGAGTCAAACCAACGGTGTATTGTCATTGACGAAACCAATAATATGCTTATTGAAGGGAATATTGCATTTGGAAATAAAGGACATTGTTTTGTGGTTCAAACAGGAACGGAGGTTGGAAATGTCTTCAAGTCCAACCTGGGTGCATTCTGCCAAAAGTCAAAACTGTTACTGTCGGCACGTAATAACAAGAAAGAAGAGACCGATGACACGCCGGCTACCTTTTGGATAGGAAGCCCATCAAACCATTGGATCGGCAATGTCGCGTCTGGTTCAGAAGGCTCTGGTTTCTGGATTCAGCCGAAGAACCATCGTCAAACAGGCTTTGCGGGAAGTTCTCATATCTTGTCTTTGACTGAATTCAGGGACAATGTTGCTCACAGTACGGATGAAGAGTCATTGAAAATTACCGGATACAGCCCTACTCAAATGGCTTCTATCAAGAATTTCAGATCCTACTTGACCAACAAAGGGCACTTCGTTGTCTCGAGAAGCTCCAACATCGCTGCGGAAAAAACCATGCTGGACACCCCAATAGAATCAGAATATTTTCCGATGATAGGTACAACTATAGTTCCAATAGAGGGAGGGGAGGAATATCTTATTGAGGAAGATACTGAGGAAGGTTCATTTCATCATATCTCTTCGAACCCAACAGATGTATTTAACTTACAATCAAGTCCAAGTTTATTGGAGTGAAATACCACATTGAAAGTATGGGATTCATAACAGTCAATGTAAGACTTCCATGTAAAATTGTTACAAATGATGAATAGTGTGCTATGCTACCATTCTTAGATCTGCTGTCACTATTCTGCTTGTAGCATTGAGGAAATAAAAAAAAAACATCAAGTTATATTTAACCTGGTTAACTAGAAGAGGTGAAAGCAAGGACCATAGCTTCTCAGAAGAAGGGTGCCTCTACTACTACTAGTTGTTCCAAGGGGAAGTATTGGGAATATTCATACTTGTATTATTTTTATCCAGAACTTGTCCTACTAGAAAATACCTAGAATTCAGAAAAAAAATCCAGCAAGACAGAGATTTTTCAATTGTGACATTTGTCAATCAATCATGACATTTTTATTATTTGATTCTTGTAGATCATGACATTTTTATTTTTTGAATCTTGTATGGAGTAATCTTAAATCTAGTAGCCCTGTGATTCCATTTTATGACTTCTCTCCTGTGACTGTGCTTGATCCAGTTGTTAATCAAAATTTACCTAATGATGTTGCAGTTTGTAGTATGTCTTGGTTCCGTGGACTGAATTTAGAATGAATGAGATGCAGCAGCTCTGCCTCAAGTGGTTACTACTACTAGTACTAAGCAATACAGAAACAACAAAGCAAGAACATTACTACTACATTTAGGAATCTTGTGAACTAGTAATAACACCAGCAGAGGAGCTACTGATAGTAATACAACTATGTCACACTGATGATATTATGGTGTGAAGTTTTTCCAAAATTATATTCCTGTGCATACTTTGCGGTCCTGGATGAACACAAAACTCAGGACAATTACTGTATGTAGAAGATGTTCTCATACCACATGATTCTCAGCATGAGTTTGACTCCCATTTTTGGGGGGTGCGCATCATTTTTATCATTTCCTTTCATCAATGACAAGATTTCTAAATAAACTGACAAATATCTTGTTCTAGTCCAGTATTCTGATAAAAACATTATTGTTCCTAAGAAGATAAATATTCTGATCTCTCTGTACAATTTTGGTTATGGCACTTCAAGATTCCTCCCTCTGCTAATTCTTTTCAGACAGCAAGCAACTGTATCCAAATCCAAAAGAAAATCTTGATACAGATGTCCTACTATTATCTTTGTGGTTTCATCATATTATCATTGTCAAGATTTGACTATTGTAATTATAAACCCATCAAAGTTCTAGCTTCTTTAAAGAGATTGGGATCCAGCCCAGAACAATTTTGTTTGGATGAACATTTTTTCATCTTTGTGCAATTTACTTTTTATTATCCCCCTCTCCTCATTGTATTCACCAATGTTGTCTTGATACTTGTCCATGAGTGCAAGAAGTTCAACTATTGTTGAACTGTCTTTGGCTCTACACTTTTTATTTCCTCAACAAGCTTCATGAACAGTATACAACCTTGGGTACTCTGGCATTCTTTGCTTGATCTAACTCTGCTGTGTGTGAATCATTTTTGGTGGGTTTCAGTAATGTCTCACTCTGGTGTCACCAATGGCCACATACCCATATCCTGTTGTCCACCCTGGTTGATCACCTGAAAGACCATGGTGACAGTTTGTATTAATCCCCTGCTTATTGCCGAGGCATCAGGAATGCTAATTTCTTGACATTCCAAATGTTAGTAACAGTGTAGGACTGGTGTGTAGAAATGAGCACTGGAGTTTTTTGCTTGAATTTAACATTCTGAATGCTAGTAGAAGGGGAGGTGTCTGCTTCTTCTTCTTTTTTAGGAAACAAGACCAAGATTATTGGTTTTTGGATGCTGGTGTACTACCAAATGAACAAAAATGGGGATAGTACCAGGATCTACACAGGACTAACGTGATATACTAACATTCCAAACATGAAGTCTGACATTGCAGTGCATGCATACAAAAAAGAATTTTAAGTCTGACATAGTAGGGAACGTTAATTCTAACATGCGGAGTGCCAAACGTAATTTCAATCATGGAAGTTGAATAGAATAAAAAAGTACAAAAATAGTTGTTATTCATCTGGAATTGTCCTTCTGGAATAAGGGAGTTCGAGGGTCGGAAAAATGTAAAAACATGGTATCAAAAAATTTTTAATGTAGAGCATGTACTAGGTTGAACACCTTTTTTCTGAAGAAATAAAAAGTTATGGAAATGAGATGGTGGTGGCACAGATGAGTTTGCTGATAGTATGCTATTCAAAATTTGACTTCCACTTGCAGCGCACCACAAAAGACTAATTGATCTGCAATGTGTAGTAGGCGCAGTACTCGTTGAGCAGCTCAACATTTCCATGTACTCAGCGTGCGTGGTATTTTTTAGGTACACGATTTGTTGAGCAGATTGCACCGTACAAACACTAGTTATTTTTTGCCTAAGTACGCGGACTGAATTTTGTAACCAGAATTTTGTAACCAAACCCTTCCTTAAGGAGAGACCATATTTTTTACACAATACTACTAGTAGTGTGGTTACAAAAAAAGGGTTTGGTTACAAAAACAGGCGCACTGGTTCCCTTGTGCCCGCTTGTAACCAGGCGTTTGCACCTCAACAGATACACTGCAGTTACACTGTTAAGTACAAAAAAGAAAATTAATTGGGAACTTAATACAAACTCATGTAGAAAATACAGTAGAAATCAGTATCAGCAACTCGTATCGTATCAGCGGCTCCTCCGTATCAATGAGCGTCCTCCGTATCAGCATCATCCATATCAGTGAGTGTCCTCTGTATCAACCCAACCCCAACCTGCAGTCTTGTATCAGCGTCTCCTCTGTATCAGCGACTTGTTGTATCAGCGTCCTCCGTATCAGCAGCTCTGTATCAGTGGCTCCTCTGTATCATATCAGCGTCTCCTCCAACAACGTATCGTATCAGCGGCTCCACACCCGTATCGTATCAGCGGCTCCTCCGCATCAGTGCTGTCCTCCTCCATATCAGTGGTTGGCTGAGTTATCAGCGTCCTCTGTATCATATCGTATTGTATCATATTGTATCATATTGTATTGTATCGTATTGTATCGTATTGTATCATATCATATCAGCGTCCTCCATATTGTATCGTCCTCCCTATCAGTGAGCATCTTCCGTATCAGCATCCTCCGTATCAGTGAGCGTCCTTTAGCCGCAGCAGCACTGAGTACATGGAAATGTTGAGCTGCTTCAACGAGTACGTAAAATAACTGTGGAAGAGCTCTGCTTTCAGCGCAACAAGTACCTTCAACACTAACAAGCTCCCAAGCTAAAGCTCTCAAGCTTGTTAGTGTTGAAGATACTTGCAGTAACCTCACTTCGATCTCGTGCTAAAGTTCTTGATCTCAGTGATGTTACTGGTGTACCGAAATCGTACCAGAAAATGTACTCTGTTGAGGTCCGTGCTATTTATGTTGGAAAAATTTTGTACTGTGTGCTCTTGAGCGAAAGCTCTCGAGCGCACAGTACAAAATTTTTCCCACACAAATAACACGGACCTCAACAGAGTACATTTTCTGGTACGATTTCGGTACACGCGCTGCGCGAGCTCCTCCACAGTTATATCACATACTGTTGGCTACAGTGCACTGCACTTCACTATCTCTATCTTTAGTGCGCCTAGCCACTAACTTTGAAGAATTCTTACTGCCCTGGACTTACCAAGGAAACAAAAAGAAACTTTTTTTTAGTGTAGATTTGTACAAACCCCGGTATATTAATTTTTGCAAATAAATTAGTACCTTTACCAAAATAAATTATTCATTTTTAACTTAAACATTCAGTCATTATTGTGACAACAAGTCATTCTACGAGCAATAACCTGTGAGGCTAAATCAAGAAGTTTTTGCACCGTAGTAGAAGTAAGTTTTTTGGCCGCCGCCGTCCTTCGAAAAAAAAACAAAAGGCGGCGGCCGCAACCAATATTTGCAGTACGGTAGAACAACAATACCGTACGGACTTCATTAGTATCGAAACATGATGTGTCTTTGAAAAACGTTCGCGCGAGCCGAACGATCGAGCAGTCGCCAAAACGAAATTGTTCAGCAGAATACTGTGAAGAAGTTAGAACAAATTGAGCATTAAAATACTAGCTGCTACCTCGATAACAAGTTTAAGTTAAACCAAGTCGGTGTCCTTCGGTCACGCGCCGTCCGCAAAGGAACGCACTTATAGCAGCAACTACACAGAGCGCCATTTTAGTCTTTACGTAATTATAACCATCAATGTGAGCATGAATACAAACGGAGAAGCTTTGAAAAGGCTAATTTTGAACCCGAAATATACGAAGAAAAGAATTCAGTTAGATGATGGTCGGATACTTTCATACTCGGAATGTGGTAATCTGGAGTCGGGAATGCCCGTCTTGTTCTGTTTGGGACTTATGACGTCCAGTTTGGCAATTATGTTTACTCATCATAGAGCTTTACGGAACAATCTGCGACTGATTTCAATCGACTATCCCGGAATCGGCGAATCTACATTTCAGGAAGATAGAACGTTGGGAGGATGGGCTGATGATGTGTCGCAAGTTCTAGATCAGTTGGGGATAAGGAAAATCAGACTTCTCGGCCACTCACTTGGCGGACTTCATGTTCTAGCATTGCTTTCCCATAGAAGCTTCAAGAAGAGAGTTCTCAGAACTGTACTATTGTGTCCATGGCTCTATATTGAAGGTGAATCATCAAATCCTCCTTGGATGAAATTTACACACACTTTACCAGCTATCTTCCAGTCGACAATCATACCCTTTGTATTGACAGGCTTGTCGTCCAGCTCGATGAAGTTACTTACGTATGCAAACCCAGAACTAGGAGAGGTTCAAGCACTAAAGCTTGTCATGGATTACACTTGCTTACAAGGTCAAGCTGGTAACGAACAAATGGTTCGGCTAGCTCTTTCAAAATACGAAACCTACCTTCCGGAAGAAAGTGGCCTACAGTCGCCTATTATCATTTTTCATGGCGAAAACGATAGCTTGGTACCCGAGGAGAGAATTCTTGAATTAGTCGAAGCATTAAAATTACGGAATTGTGATGTAAAATATACATCTGTTGCGGGTGGAGATCACAATAACATTTTGTCAAAGACAGAGAACCTCATCAATGTAATGGCGTGTCTCGTTGGTGATTCAGATTCATGGGCATTCGAAATCGCCAAGTCATTAGGTGTCAACCGAATTCAATCTATGCCAAAACCCAAAACGCCTACAGCATGCCCAATCGATGCCATGATACGGCGAAAGTGTAGATCGTTGAATAATAAGAAATAGAAGATAAATACAGGTACAGCAAATCTGACTGAAAGGAAAGAGGTCAGCCAATTAGTTGATTCAAACATGTAATATTATCTCTCTTCGGAAATGACTAGTGCTAAACAAATTTGTACATCACAAAATAAATTTCAAATGTTTATCGTTCATACTTAATTTGCCTTGCGAATAAGTCAAATGCTTATCGTTCGTACTAAATTTACCCTGCGAATAACAGATGATGTAAACCGAAGATTAATTACACATCAATCCCCAAGATTATGTCACGTCATGCTTCAGTCGTTCGATACCACACCTAGAAACGTGAAGCAAAATCAAGATATTTCGAACAAAAGTTTTGCACCACCGTTTTATGGAACGACACAAAAACTTTCCCTAATCATAATGTGGTCGATTGTGCATGTGCCTGGGTTGTTGGCCAGGATGACCTTGCTGGAGCCGCAAGTTGCTTTCGGCTACTTTCAGGACACCGTAGACACCACCCGCAGCGGTTCCATACATGGCAAGCAAGAAAGTCGCCACAAAAGAAAACGCTGCACAGGCAGCAGAAATGAAAAACAAAACCGCTACTATTGGATTTGGCTGGTACGATCGAACGATCGACCAAAGACCGATCACAAATGTGAAAAGGGCAATGATTAGTCCCATCGAAAAGTTCATGAGAACTTGCTGATAAGAACCAAACCAATAGAATCAATAATGGTTGCAAACAGTTTAGTGAGTTTCAATTGTGAACGTGTTTCCATGGCATCCAGTGAAACATCGGCACGGCGTATAACACCAACGAATGGAACTCACCATCAGTACCTTCAATCCGTATTCTATCATACTCTCGTCCCGGCCCATCGATCGCATTCCCATAAACATGGCATCCCACATTGATTGACGCTTGGCAAACTGCTTGCCGGCAGAGAAATATGACCAAAAAGAATCCTGAACTTCTCCTACTCCAACTTCGGAAAACAGACCGGCTACTGCCTTAGCATCCGACATTCTTTGATTTCCCTCCGCTCGAATAATGTCCAAGCGATATTTCGCATCTTCCATTTTTCGCTTGTTGCGCTGGCATAAACCGTCGCAAGAAAACCATCCTTTTGTTGCTTTGTACGCTTGATTGGCCCTCCAGAAGTCAGACGAAGCATCGTATTCGGCATCCACGTCAATGGTGTTCATGATGTTGTTGTATTCACGTCGCTGGTCGTAGTTTAGCTTAGTTCCACTTCCGACTAGAAGGATGACCACAATACCCAATAGGTAACCCCCAGTGACCACTTTGTGGCGCCGAGCGAAAGCCGATGCTCCTCTGAGTACCATTTGCCCTACATCACCAGGTTCAGGGAGAACGATTTGACGCCCCTGCATGCCTCCACCTCGTTGATGAGCTTGTTGTCTTCCGTACATTTTCCGATAATAGTTTCACTGTATCAAGAATAAAAATGGCTAGCTATGGTCGAAGTATTCAATGGCAATGGTAGTCAATTGTGGTTAGGTGGGGCTGGGGTTGGGGGTTGGTTGAAGATGATATGAGGTTGATGATTGTTGTGTCCGTGTTCGGAATGTTGGGTGTCGATTTCGATTTCGATCGATAGTAGATCTGTCCACTGGAACTTTCGCATCTCTAACGGACCGCACGACTCGAAAGACCTGTACGATCAAAATTCATACAGTCCTGTAGTACGTAATGCGAAATACTGTTAGGCTCTCTAGTGTCGTATGAACACTGGTTTACAATAGTGAGGTTATTCACTACTAGTAGCTACTCATGATTGTGCTGTGTTTAGTGTCTCTGTCTCACACCTCCCCGCACTTACAAAATCTAAAGAGTCAATTGAGTCCAACTTGTGAGTTTCGAGCAAATCTTGTATAGGATTTAGATTGCTGCAAGAACAAGTGGGGGATACTAAGAAACAAGAGATAATGTGAAATGTAGCCTAAGAGTAGCCACCACCAGGAGTGATAGCCTCGTCATCATGAGAGGTATTTGTGTTGTCTGACAAGGAATGTTCTTGTTAAAAGTGTCCCATGAAGATATTGATATGCTCATAGAACTTTGTGCGATCTGTTGGTTTGCTCAGTGAATTGCTACTATAGTTTTCATCACAAGATCGTGTGTGAATGTAGTTAATATGTTCATCATCAGTCCATTGTAAGATAACAAAGTGTTTCATTTCAACATGTCTTGTTCTTTGAGTAGGTTGTTGTGCATTTGCCATTCTGACAGCCTATGGTTGTCTACTGAAATTGGTGTTGGTTTAGTTTGAGGTATCTGTAGTTCATCGAATATCCACCTCAGACACAATGCTGCTTTGCCTGCATCTGCCATGTTGGTGAATTTTGCTTCTGTGGAGCTCTGTGCTATCATGGGTTGTAGGCATGTCCAATAGTAGACTGCAGCTCCAGCAAGCATCATAATAATGTCCCCCATAGATATGTGTTGTAGTCTATTGGAGGCCCACATTGTATTGCATGTCCCATGGATGTAAAGGGGGTCAGGGCTTTGGTGGAATTTTGTGAATATCTCAGGGATTGAGATAGATGTGGGGTGTGGTTTAGCTGGTAGGTCTTCACAGGGACTAGGCCTCCAATATGTGAGACCTTCAAATTTGGTGGCAAGTAGGTATATAAATACTTGTTGAGGAATTGCCTTCTAGTGGATCTTCACAGGGCAATGGGAATGGTGGCTCAGGGTTATGACTGCAACAACGGATATATCAATACAGAAGATTTTTAGTTAACCTATGCTCTGTCTATAGTTGAAGCCCATTTTATGTTCTAATTTTGTTGCCTCCAGTGGGTTTGTAGGGTCTGTAGGGCCTTTAGTGGTTTGAAGAAGCCTTGGGTACTGTGATTCTTCTTTCATTGGTGTTGGGCGCTTTCGGATCTTAGAGCTGTTTAAGTTCCAACCATGGTGGGAGCATATTTTCTCAATATATTTGGCACAGTGGAGATGATTAAACTCTTGAGTTTGCTCAAAATGTATGCCATTAAACTTTCAAATAGTGCCCAGGATATTAAGGGGGTTTGTCACCTTTGCTTGGATTTGGTCCCATATATCATCACATACCTTCTCATCTTTATTTGCAATAAGGAAATCATCAACTTGTCTGAGGATGATAGTGAGATCATTGTTATCATGTTTAAAGTATAAGCATGGTTTGTGTGTGGTTGGTTTAAAGTCCTTTAGAGTTGTATTTATCCCACAAATGTGGAGCCTCTGGATGCCCCTGAAGTGGTTTTTGGGATAACTAAGCCCATGGGGATGTTCATCAGTGAATACAGGATCAAAATCATAAACACAATCATCCTTGAATTCCATGAACTTACAGAAGCAATTGTAGTAGGTGCCAACAATTGCCTTGGGGGCATTGACACCTAACTCTGAATCTGGAATGATCCTCTTCTTCTTCCTCCCTGCTGTCAATTTCTTCTTTTTGCTGCTCTTCCTCTTTCTCTTCCTGCTCCTACTGGCGTTGATGGTGGGGGCGTTGCTGGTGGCATTGTTGCTGGCGTTGTTGTTGCTTGAATTGTCATGAGGACAGCATATATAAGTCTGGTGGATTAACTCTCATTAGCTCTGCAAGCTCTGCCAGTGCTTGCCCTCCATCATCAACACTGCTTGCTGCATTGCTCGTATCAGCGTTGCTCGTATCACCAGCGTTGCTCATATCACCAGTGTTGCTCATATCAGCTTTGCTGGTGGTATTGCTGCTTGCCTCTTCGATGTAGCTGCTTGCTGCATTGCTGCTGTTGCTGCTTGACGCTTTGTTGCTACTGGCGCTGTTGTTGCTGCTTGCTGTGCTTGCCTCGTTCTTGCTTGTTCTTTTGCGAGGCATCGTAACGACCAGCAAACCACTAAACTGGACCAAACAGTCTTTCTACTGGTTCCTTTTGAATGCTTAAGGGCTTGTTAAATTGACAATGGAGATGATGGATGCAACGGTGGTAGTCTCCTTGTTGTCTAAGGTTGAGTACAAGTGCTTCAAATAGAGGGGAACACCACCATGGGAAGTAGCTTGAAAAACTGAGTTTTTCAATAGAATGAATAAAGCTGTTTGCTGAGGGGGGGGAGGGGGGGGGACCTACACAAATTCCTACACAAATTTAGTACTAGAAAATAATCAATCATGATCGCCAAGGACTCCGTTTGTATGTGGGAATGTGTATCATTATTTGTATCTTGTTTCAGTTAGCACCAGTTATACAGTGGGTTATTATAGTAGTACTTATTAGTAGGCGACTCCTGTAGTTAATAAAATAATACAAGCACACACATCAGCATGGTAGAAATGTACACAATTTTTTTTTGATACTACTAAATATGAGGGGTGCAAAAATATGTTCTTACCATTTAATACAGTAATACAACGGTAAAAAATACATGTGTATCATTTTGCAGATATTACTGTAGTACTGTACTCGTACTTCCTACGATACGTACCTATGCTTGAAATTCAGTACTCTACCCATTCTACCGTACGTACGGTACGAACCGTTTCCTACGACCGTCGCGTCGTCAATTCCAAAATTGTGGTTGTTCCATTCGACCAGGAGCATAACTCCTGTCTAATTACAACCCAATAACAACCATACTTTTATGGCAAGTCCTAAACGTAAAAGAAAAATGTGGGGTTCGTCTAGTAGTAGTGCGAAAAAGTCTAGGCGCAAATCGAAGTCGTCTATGAGTGGCGCCATCGACGAAGCTGCGGCGGAAGCTATTTTCGCTGAGCTCGCAGACGAGGAGGATCCGACTGTTATCGAACTTGATGGCATTGCGACCTTGTGCGAGAAGCTCGATCTCGATCCAGAAAGCGACATAAGAATCCTGGTGTTGTTGTGGAAGCTAGGCAGTAACGAGAAACCTGCGCAAATTTCGAAGGAAGAATTCATGGATGGGTGCCACAACTTACAACTCGATTCTATCGAAAAGTTCCGAAATTTGTTACCAGCATTAGATACAGGATTCCTGGACCAAGACGAGTTCAAAAGCTTCTACAAGGTAGGTTCTTTTGTGATTGACAATCTTGGCTGTGGAAGACGGCTTTTGTATCAAAGTTGTTTACTGTAATTACTTCTTGTCATTGGAACATATCGATAAGTTTTTTCGTGTTCAAAAGCATTCTTTGTGCCCACTTTACATTGTAGGTATTCCGCTCAAAATCATTGATTTGCATTTTCCCACTTCATCCTAGTTTTGTTTTCAATTTAATCGACAGGGAACACATCGTACGCTAGACAAGGACATGGTAGTAGCATTGTGGCAAATGGTGTTGAAAGACAGAATCCCAGACGAACGATTGGAAACGTTTTGCGAATTTACTGAAACACAGAAGTCTTATACACGCATCACTCTGGATCAATGGACAAGCTTTTTGGATTTTTGCCACGAGTGCGAAGACTTGAGTACATACGATGAAAGTATGTCGGCATGGCCTGTCTTGATTGACGAATACGTCGAGTACATGGAAGAAAAACAAAAAAAATAATTAAGCGAGTACCGTGCAAGGACATGATAGGAAGCAAATAATCTAATAGGGGCTTGACAAAGATCCGAGAAAGTAGAGATTGAAAAACTAAAGCGAGAATCATTTGAATATTGGATTCAGTAATAAGTCGAATGTGTACATCTTCTTCTTGATGCTTCACCGCACTCCACGCTTGATTATTTCCAACTATTTCGATTTTTGCGGAATCCTATGGCTCTGCACAAAGTTTTCTTTTACACCATCCGAACCATCCACTAACAATCCTGTACCGCGACACGGTGGTGGCCGCAAAGAAAAAGTTTTATTGTTTTACTCTACCGAGCTCATTATCTGATGCCGTACTGATTCGTATTGAAATATCATAGGTGTTCCTTAATAAATGTATCGAGCTCGGGTTCACTTGAGCCTCGACAAGTTCCTACAACGGTGTCTCCTTGGACGATGATGAATGTTGGCATCATCGCTACAGAGTACTTTCCTGAAATATCATCAAAATCATCAACGTCAACTGTGATGAAATCATAGCCCGGATTTTCTTTACATTTTTGTTGATAAAATGGGTGGATCTTTTTGCACGGTTGACACCAACTGGCAGTAAACTTGACGACCACTTTTTTGTTCTTCCTCAGTAAGGCGTCGAATTCCTTTTCTGACTCGAGCGGCTTCACAGTCGAAGTAATATCTGAAGAGATTCCATTTGTTGCCTTGCTTCGTTTGGATCGTTTCGAAGCAACATTGTCTGAAGTACAGCAAGACGGTGACGATGAGTTTTTTTGTTGGAACTGCTTGAAATTCGTCAGCTCGGCGATAAAATCAGGGACCAGCCCATACGCGTGAAGTTTGGCGAGCAGCCATTTCATTCCTAATATACAAAGCGGAACCACTGCCGTATAGGGGACGCAAACGCCTCCGACGCAAATCATTATTTTGAAAATTGATGCAAAACTATCGGAGAGATCGATGGCGATGATACGAGTAAGCTTATCTACTTCTTAATAATCGTATTGTGAATGATACGGTACAATAGTCAAGATCACTGGTATCTCCTCGCAGTGGTTAGTCTCTTGTCTCGGAAGGACATCGAATGCAACCTGGCCCCTCCGGAACCCACGCGCGCAGAATCCCCCCCTCCTTTCTGAATTCCTCCCCTAGAAACGTTGTGGGTTATTTTTGGTGAAAAAAAAAAACACATTGCAAGACGTGTTTTTTTTGGTAAAAAATACCAAAGGAATTTAGAGATATTTCAGTTAGAGGAGAACCCAGGACGATATATTGAAGTTGTTGTCATGGATGTCAATGGGTGATTCCCGTTATTATAGATGTGCTACTTTTGATAGACTAACAGACCAAAAATTTATCACATTAATAACAAATTTAATAAATTTTATGATGTACTACTACTACTGTACTTCTACTAAATTCCAACAAAAGACTGGCATCAAGCCGGCATCGCTCTCCGTCTGTCCATTGAATTTTTTATTCCCGTTATTGTATAAGTAATAAAAATGCTAAATTTACCAGTTTAGCACATCGATAATAACAGGAATCACCCATTAAATCATTGCTTTTTGTTGTTTGAAAAAAGGCCCAATAGATTTGTTATTTGTGAGTTGACCCACAATGTTGGTTTGTGGGTCCATGCTGGGTTCTTATTTCATGGAAAAAAATGACCTACATTGTTTTAGTACTACTATTAGTAGAACAAACATGGGTTCTTTCATGGGAAAAATAACCCACAAAATCACCCCCTAAAAACCTTTGACTTCAAAGGGCAGGGATGCCTGCTGTGTGAGTTGAAGAGGGCCATGGTGGAGATCAATTGAGATACAAAGAATGACAACCCAATTTTGTTCCATGGTCATGGTCCTACTGCACATGACTATTACTACTGAAGCTACTAGGAAGTACAGTAGTATTACTAGCCAGGGTCATAAATTTTTCAAGGGTGCACATTGCATTTAAACTCATATTCCATCCTCAGCACCATTAAGAAAAATCTACTCCTGGATTTTTTCAGTTTCCATTTTTCTACATGTACTAGTAGTACTACTAGTAGTAAAGCTATCCAACTTGAAAGTAGTCATACTACTAGTAGTAGCTTACTCAAAAATACTACTATTTTAATTTTTCACTAGTATAGAATGATCTATATGAGTTTTTTGCACCAAGGATTCTGAATATGTCAATGCTTTCAGTAGCAAATGATGAATTTTTATTTCTCCTCTCTCTGTAGTTACACAAACCAGTGACAGCACTGCCAGTATGAGGAAAACAGTGGTGTTGGTAAGTACATACTAGTACAGACAGTAGAGTAATAGTATGTTAATTACATTCAAACAGTTGAACTGGTAATTTGTATGTAATTCTCAAGTACTATCTACTAGTACTACTACTAGTACCACCAGCAGTTTAATCAATACATGTGAAATGCATTAATTATAGAATCCTTCCAGGTCCTACAGAGCTCAATGTCATTCTACTCAAACATCTAGTAAAATTATTATGTACAGTAGTACTTGATTAATAAAATCAACTTTTTTCTTTGTTGTACTAGTACCAGATCCTACATAGATACAGACGATACATCTTTCAACCAATAGAAAGAAAAGTGTAATAGGACAATTAGAACTCCTCTGAAATAGCCTTGTCTAATGTTCTCCCCCTTGGGGAAATGCTTGGTCATACTAGTGTCAGGAAGAGTGCCCTGTGTCAGCCTTGTAGTAGTAGGGGGAGCCAGCAGCCCATTAACAGCAAGAAGTGTTGCCAAATGTTCTTGCTATTTTCAGAGACCAGCCGTGCTAAGAAATAGGCCAGAACTTTATCAAAAAATAACTCACCAGACTAAGCACCCAGTCCAAATTGATACAATTCCTAAATGTTGGTGTCATTGGAAAACCAAAGGATGCTCTAGTACAGACTTAGAAGTACTACTAGTCTGGCAAAGTTACACTAATGGATGGCCAAATTGTGAAGGTTCTGTATCTCTTGAGTCATACCATTAGTGTGAGTGCACTTATAACTACTTAATTAAATTTGCACTCCCTTGTCCATGCTCAATCTTCCAGAAGAGTTGGAAGCCAACAAGCACTGCCAAGAATCAACTGCAAACAAAAAATACACAAAATCAAATACATCAAGAAGCAATCTCATTGCGTGGAGTAGACATGACACCTGTGATCTAAACTAAGTTGATTCTCMATGAAAATGAAAATCTTTTTAGAAGTTGAAACTGAGGTTAATAAATACTCCTATCATGGGCTTTGGTTTTGATACTCTTACTTCACCACACATGTCTCAACCCTGGCACCGTGATATTAATCCCACAGAGACAAGAAAGAAGAAAGCAACATGACAGTGCTGTTTCAACGTTTTAAATTACTCCAGGAGAGAGAAGAGACAAGTAAGAAGAAAACAACAGGTCAATGCCGTATCCACGTTTCCAATCAATCCATAATTGAACCCACTGTTTAGACTCATCTCTGATTGTGTTGCATTGATCTCATAAGGCAGATCGAGAGCTGTGCCAGAGTGACAGCAGTCCATGAGTACCACAACTGTCACACCTGCCGGCATTTTCCTCACGAGTCTCTCATATAAAACATCGTCAATGATTTGACCAGCTCTCTTGAAGTCCACCGGGATCAAGGTCTATGTTTGAAATGAAATGGTGATACAAACGAAAGATGTTAGTTCGGGATTGTAAGCATTTACAAATTCTGGTATTTTGACAATGTGTCAAACACGCTACTTACTTCGTCGTAACCGTCCGCCTATCGTGGTGTTTAAGTCGGAAGCATAAAGAGCAAAATGTTGGTCAGAACTATGCGTAACAGAGAAAATATAAAATAGTCCGTTTTTCACTATTGGTTTTGTACGATACCTACCTCGTCTCCACTCGTGTCACGGATGCTTCCACCGTGACCACTATAATGAATGAATACAACATCACCAGCTTGGCTATATTGTACGATCCGATCGAAAGCGCCCAGAATATTGTCGCGAGTTGGCTGGTTGTGACGCCCGTCGTCCATTAAGATCAACATATCCTTTTCTCGAAACCCTTGCTCCTTGGTCAGATATCTTTTGATATTATGGACATCGTTGTGGCAGCCGCTGAGCTCACCTTGCTGACCTTCGTAGTTGATTCCGATAAGCACCGCCTTAAAAAAGAGCGAATAAATCATAATAACGTCATGATGGAATGCAGACAAAGAAAAACGCAAGTCAATTCAAATCGACGCGACTAAGGTGTGTGTCTTCTGTTCATCTCAGCCCCTCAAACGAGATTTTGTTCGGTCGGCGATACTCACTCGACGACGTCCTCGTGATTCCTGGGGTACGATCTCGAACTGGTTGTTAACGTCCATCATACGACTCGACGAGAGCTGCGGGACTTGGTCAAAGCCTTTCGACTTCAGTACGCTTCTCATTCGATGCAACAGATCGATCCAGCTCATTTGTCGTCCCTGGTTTTCGTCGAGTACCTTCAGTAGCGTTGAGGTACAGGCACCGCCGGCCTTTCCTTTTGGATCCGGAAGAGAAAAGGTCCCCACGTTTCCCACGTCGGCAGATGTTTGCTTGTCTTCGCAACCCGAAATCATCACGAAATTTGCCGGGATGGCTTGCTGAATTTTGGCGTCCATGTTTCTATGTATCTTATTGTTTATTGGCAGTTGACAGAAGCTTGTTACTTCAAACCGGTTTGCGTCGTGGGGTGCTGGATGGTATCAATGTAACATTTCAAATAATACTACTAGTACTTCGGTTACCATTACCTCTCGAATTCGAGGTACGAGTACCTAACGGTAATGCTTCAACTGTACGGTAACGTAGTTGTTAGTAGTAGTATTTTGCATTCCTGCAGTCACAGTCTTTTTGTAAAGATCCGTTATTATTCCGAAGGGCAGAAATTTCATTCGGAGTAGTACCCAGCGTACGATAGTGCTGTACGAAGTACCGTACCGTTATCCTAGTACGGTACTAGTTCGTAGTAGCTAGCAGATGTCAATCGATCGACCATAAGGGATGTACGGTAGTACGGTGTCGACCGTGCTTGTGAGGGAGTACCAAGTAAAGTATCGTACAATCTGGAATCAACGCTTAACGTAAAAACGTGAGGGCATAATAATAGTAAATAGTAAAAATTACTGCACTCGTGTAACATGACTATGCGTTTTTATGGAGGGGAGGGCTTTTGTTTTCGAGAGGGGCGGCAAGACACACTCAAATACTGTAAATTGTACGGTAGATTTCAAACTATGATTTGAATTCATTATTTCGGTTTTAATTTACGATTACGACTACTTCGTAGGTATTACAGTACGGTATGGTACGGTACGCTGTCACGAAATTTCGTGCCAAAAGAAACACAGTAATACTGCCGACGGTACGGTGCTCTACCAAGTAATCTACGATTTGCTGGTACCGGTACCGGTAGGACCAATGCTCTCTCACTTAAAAGAGCTACCGGTATAGCAACAAAAACTGAGGACGAAGGGGGAAAAAATCAATACAGTACAGCGCAAATCTCGTACTCGTACTACGCTACGCACAGTAAGAAATAATAGTGGTAATTGTACTCCAAACGAAGGCGTTCAACACACGACACGGCACAATCCGCAATCATACAGGCCGTTCCTGTTGATCCAAACAGGGACAGATTCTAAGATTCAGCCCCAGAGCGCAAGCATTAAGACGAAGAGAAAAAATGGGGAGAACAGCAGAGATTTCGGTAGCTTCCAATCCCAGCAAAGCAATCGATGAAAGCACCTTCGAAAGTTTCTGTAACGACGTAGGTCCTAAACAATCGTTTGATACAAAATAAATCCGAGGTGCAAAACGATTTCGTGGGTATTCAATAATGTCTAGGCTCACTGATCTTTGTTATTTTCTTCTCTCCACTAATAAATTCTCTGGTGGTGCAAAACGAAACGAAACGAAACGAAACAATAGGAATCGCAAAACACCGACACTCAGACCCAGATGGAATGCACACAACTGACTCAACCCGGTCTAACTCCCGACGAATCTTCCAATTTGATGCATACTCCATCCTCTGGGAAAAACACACCCCTAAGTCCACCACAAATACTGCCATTCGGTCGCTTAGTACCTTCCATGCCCTCGCCCATTCTTACCGCGATAAATTTGATGCCGACGCAGGAATCGTATTGGCTCGGAAGAAGTCAGAAATGCGACGTCACGGCCCAGTACGATCGTTCCGAAAGAGCTTCATATCTATCGAAGAAAGGGATGGCCGCTCTCGATTGGGGGAAGAGCATGATTTCAAATCGCCACTGCCGTATTTTCCATCAAAACAACGGGAGTCAAATATTTGTCGAAGACAATTCTGGAAACGGAACATTCATCAACCAGCAAACAAAATTGCAGAAGGGTGAAACCAGAATTCTGCATTCTGGTGACGTAATCTGTTTGGTAAACCACGAAACTCTTCGCAAGAGGCTCTCCTCGGACAGGATTATCCAATTTGTGCTGCAGCAATTTTCGTTCATCGTCGTCCGAGTTCAGTCGAAAACACGAAAATCGTGTGTCAATCCACGCGCGATGAACTACAATTTTGGTAGGAATCATCGGAACAGCAGCATTGACGAAACTGGTGCATCTCAACTTTCCCCGCTACCGCCCAGTAGAAAGATTGAAACCTTTTATGACCTGCGAGAAATCCTCGGTGACGGAACGTCGGGTCAGGTTCGTCGAGCGATTCACAGACAATCCGGGAAAGAGAGAGCAGTAAAAATCATCAGTCTACGACGAAATGTGAATGCATCAATGATGGAAAGGGAAGTCAATCTCCTTCAGTTGATAGACCATCCATATATTGTAAAGCTAGTGGAAGTTTTCGTGGAACGCGGAGTAGCCATGTACCTGGTAATGGAACTCGTGAAGGGAGGCGATCTTTTTGACTGCATCGTGGAAAAACAACGCTACACCGAGGTCGAGGCCAGGCGCGCAATGAGAAGATTATTGAATGCGGTATATTACCTTCACGAAGAGGCCAATATTGTACATAGGGATTTAAAGCCAGAAAATATACTTTGCTCGTCTCCTATACACGTTAAGCTTGCAGATTTCGGACTTGCGAAAATTATCAAGGCAGATGGACTCAAGACGTTCTGCGGAACGCCGGCGTACTTCGCACCAGAAGTACTCCAAAGGCGTGGCACTGTGGCAGGGCGAGGGCGTTATGGGAAACCTGCGGATATGTGGTCCCTTGGGGTAATCTTGTATATCTTGCTGACTGGAAAACCACCCTTTGATGCCGATATGGACGAACCATCCAACTGCTATGAAGTGGACTTTGAATCTGATGCCCTTATTTGGTCAGAGATTCCTTCCGCAAAAGATCTTGTCGAGAAAATGCTTCGGCAAGATCCCAAACAGAGATATACTGTTCGCCAGGCATGTGAACATACCTGGATCAACGTAGATGATGGGGACACTCATTGCAATCCGCTCAACGACCCGGCAGTTGTTTCCAAACAGATAGGTGACAAACAGGAGTCGTCAAAACCTAGTGAAAAAGTATGCGAGACCGTTGCCAATGAAATCATAGGAGTTAAAAACGACAAATCATTGCATGAAGAATCCACGGCTTTGGTCGCAAGTCATTTTCAGAGCAACAGTGAAGGCAAAAATTCGTCGAAAGTGAAGCCTGATTCTGTACATAATGTCCTGCGGAAGCCGGAAAGAAAAATTGCAGATCTAAAGATATCGAGTGAGAGTAATAATCATGAACCTTGTGGTGATGGGGAAAGGGAAGGCAAGGGCAGAAATGACGACGTGACTGAATTTACAAGTTCCGACGCTAATGCAATTGCTGACAATGAGGAATCAAGCGGGGTATCATTTTCTGATGATGTTTGCTTACCACCAAGATCTCCACTTAGTAAGCTGAATCTCAATCAGAGATCTAATAAATTTCGGGATCATGTTATGAAGCAAACCAAGGAGCTTTTTGAGTCACCGAATGGAAATGGAGAGCGGCAATCAGCTGTGACGCCAAACTTAAGCAGCATCAAACGACAGCCACTACAAGAGGATTTAAAAGCTGAAAAGGGTGACGGAAATGTTGAGGATCCCATTCTTTCGCAATTTAGCTCTGAAGTGTCAAGCGTCGAATCATTTAGCGATAACGACTCTTCGACCAACGATGTTTCAGCGACCAATGAAACGCAAAGTGAGCATAGTTCAAAGAAACGACCTCTTGATGATAAGGAAACGAAAAATTCGACGAAGGCCTCCAAACGTGACAAAACTTGTGGCTCCAAACAAACAACATTGAACGCATGGCTTGTAAAAAAGACTTGATAAGAACCACTGCCTGTTTTTAGCTTTTCTCCAGAGTCGCTATCAGAGTTCCATGTTTGGCGTGATGAGTGCATCTGATAAGAAGAAGTTCAGAAAGTAAATTGCGGGGTTTTAATGATTATTAGTAATGCGCCTTTTGATCGCTTTCCTTTCTACCACAACCGTCGAACGAAACACGGATCTGTCTTTTGTCTCTTGCGAATCACCATACGTCTAGTAATGATCAAGACAGTGGAAGTGGGGGGGATGTCACTACCTTTGAATGTTGTGCCCCGAATCTTTGCGCTCGTGCCACCACTGTGGCAAGTAACTGTATGGAGATTTTATCCTTGGACAATCGTCAGATTTTCGAAACTGAGAAAACCAGTTCTGAACGTTCCGGATTGGCTCCGTTGTCTCTAAATATAATGGAGGCAGCCCCATGCTCACCAACAATCCATCAAGAGATCCATGGCCTTGACCAGAGCCAGTGTAATGGTCACCGACATAGCCAACCGTCTGGAATATTAATTTCTTACTGGGTGTCCATTTGAAGGATTGTAGTTCCGGACMTGTTGTAAATCTTACTTGCTCATTCGGATCCTTTGAAGGAGACAAAGTCAAACCTGACCCTGGGAGTCTCGCAGTCCCAGTATGTGTTCCCGAGTATCGAGCTACAGTCCAAATTCTCCATGGGTCGTGGGGGTCTTGATGCCATCCCTCATACGAGACGGTCAAGTCTGGAATAGCCGAACCTAAATCAAGTCCGTTGTATTGGTAATAGTTCATCAGATTGATGAAATCATCTTTGGACACTGGGCCTATCTCCGGGCTTCTGAATACAAACTCTTCTGCTATCATCGATTCCACGCCCACTGATACTCGCGTCATTCCTCCCGCTAAATCAACAGCGTCTGCATAATCTAGAGTCCAATCCACTAGAATGTCAAGTGTGGGTTCTAGCGTATGGTATGATGGGTAGCCGTCATAACCAACGAAATCATTTTCGCAAGAGATAAAATCATCTGTCTCGACACTTTCTGAGTAAAGTTGATCACTACTGCCAGAATTTCCATCGGAGATAGGGTTCGATTTTTCTGCCATTCCACTGAATAATTCCCCATCTTCCTGGTAAAACAGAGATGGAGGCCCACCTTTTGGTTCTTTTGGGACAAGAAGACTAGAACAAAAACTGAAGGGTGCGAGGCATAAAAATGCTAGCAGGAGACTTAACCGACGGAAGGCGTGGCTTGTCATCTTCATGCCTCTTCGGGTTTAATTGTCTTTCAGTTGCGCAGGATAAGGCTATAGAAAAACAGGATGTTCTATTGGAGCTACCTAATCAACTGTTTGGGATGGGTGGTATTCAATACATTTAATTGAGAACGTCCGAAAGAACTTGTTGAAAAGATAGTGATGGTACCAAAAACTGGTGCATGCTCTTCCTGTTCGATTCTCACTATCGCACGAGGACGCCAGACCGTGTGTGACATGGAGAATGAGAGAACTGTACAGCCAAGAATGCTCGTGCTAGTACTACAGTAAAAATTACGTCCAGCACGAGGTTTCATGCGAGAGATACGATTCTGTGACTGAGCGCGTGATTCCCTTTCGTATTTGGCGAATTCGCTACAATCGTTCATCATTTTTCCTCAAACGGGCGAAGAAAGACCCAATCAGAACGATGTTCGGCTCCGTGCACTGGTTTTCATCGTGTCATTTTAGAGCGATTTTGGCATTAATTTAGAGTTAGGGATAATATTATTTCGGTACTAATCAAGCAATATGATTGGCTATGATTATGCAAATAACTGTGGAAGAGCTCTGGCTGCTTTAAGCACTACAAGTATTTTCAACAAGAAGCTCTTGAGCTTGTTGAAGATACTTGTTGCAGTAACCTCACTTCTTTGATCTCGAGCTAAAGCTCTTGGTCTCAGTGATGTTACTACTGGTGGTGGTGTACTACCCAAATCATACCAGAAAATGTACTCTGGTGCTGATGAGGTCTGTTATTTGTGTGGAAAGATTTTTGTACTGTGAGTTCTCAAGCTTAAGCTCTCAAACAGATTGGGTATCTTATTATTATCGCCATGGTTTTATCATATCATAATTATTATAAAGATTTGACTACTGTAGCAGCTACTAGTACTAGTACTACTACTAGTACTAGTAGTAGTAGTACTACTACTAGTACTACTACTGCTACTACTACTACTACTACTAGTACTACTACTGCTACTACTACTACTACTACTACTACTAGTACTACTACTGCTACTACTACTACTACTACTACTACTACTACTACTACTGCTACTACTNCTACTACTACTACTACTACTACTACTACTACTACTACTACTACTACTACTACTAATTACACACCCATCAAAGTCCTATCATCTTTAAAGAGATTGGGTTACCAGCACAATTTTGTCTGGATGACAAACATCTTTAAACCTTTGGGAAAATTTTCTTCTTTTATTATCCATCTCCTACTTGTATCCACAAACAATGTCTTGATACTTGTCCATGAGTGCAAGTTCAATTGTTGTTGAACTGTTTTGGTAGCTCTACACTTCGATATTTTTTCAACAAGCTTCATGGACAGCTTATGACCTTGGAAGCTCCAGTATTCTTTGCTTCCCTGTTTGTGAATCATTTTTGGGTTTTCTTTCCACTGCCCAAATTATTCCATGATTTGTACTAGTAGTAGTACTAGTCATTGTACAAGAACAGAATTATGAACACTTTGTCCTTGGCACTGAAAATTGTGCTAAGCATATCCTAATGTCTTTTCTGCTTGAACTTGTTTAGTTTAGGAAATATTACCCATAAGATCCGTATTTCAAAGTACTTGGATCACAAAGTATTCTCTTGTCTATAACTCTGTTTGAACTTCAAGGTTCCTCCTCTGTCATCTCCTTCCATTATGAAGCAACAAATATCACTAAACAAACCAGGTAGTACTGCACCATTTTTTGTCTTCTATTTGTAACAAGCAGAGAAGGGTGTAGTCAGATTTCAACTTACTCACTTGTATGAACAGCAACAGCTCAACCAACACTCTGCTTACCCTTGCAATTTTTCCTTGCCAAAGCCTGTGTGTTATGTCTGTAGGCAGTGGTGATTGCCCCTTTCACTGTTCCTCCCCAACAAGTTGCAGAGACAATAAAGCTTTCTGGAACCAGTGTACCACCAAAAATTCATTTCACTTTTTTTAGATGATGCATTCCACAATTTTGAACAKGGAACTTGGTGTGCTTGAACAAGATGTTCCTTACATAATTCAACAGCTTCTGTTTTTGTATTGTCTTGCCACACTGGGCCACTACAGACAGATCATCTCCTCATGTCATGATTGTGACATTTTCATTGATTTCATATATCACCTTTCATATAAATGATACACACCTGATGATAGCCTCACCCAATCTATTTTGAATCTTGCAGGTGCCCTAGGTTCTGAGATGACAATCACAGATCCTATCACTGAATTCAAATTTTAATATTTCTGTTTTGAATTTCAGGTTTGAATAACAACTCAAAAACCCATGCCAATGCAACCAAGAACAGTGTTCCAGGTTTTGGCTGTTTGCATATTTCTCACATTGTTCAAAATGGAAGTAGTAGTAATCAACTTAATAGCACTTCAAGTACTTATTAGGCTTGCTGTGTACCAACCTGTAGTCAAGACATCTTGTCATTGATGTTTCTTGAATAGTTTGTCTAGTTATGTTCTCATGCACAAATTGATGCTTTTCCTTTTTTCACATCATCTTGTCATAATCTTCTGTATTGCTGCTTGCTAGGACTGATTCCCAAACAATCTATTTGACTTCAGGCTTGATAGCTCAGGAACTAATACAAAAAGTGTGTCCAGTATGTCTCCATTTGCATATTTAGAACCTGTTCTCAAGGATCAATTACACAAAGCTGGCTTGCACTCCTGCAAGAAAGAGCAAAGTTTTCTTGAGATACTCATGCAAGAAGCATTGAGAAGTGAAGCCTAAACTGCAAAGAGTTTGGGAAGGCAGTAAGGAGCAGGAAAGTTGTAACATTGTTCATGGAATTGACAACACATCATATCTTCATCATTAGTAACATAGTGATCACATGTCCCAACATATTAAAGCTATTGCAAATCAATCAGGTGATATTCTAAGGACAATTCACCCTTTGGTCAATATTTTTCTTTTCCATGACAGTGAAGGCAGCTCAACTGCAAACAGAATTATCCTCAGGTAACAGTTTGGATCCTGTGTGAAAAAGGTATCATATAGAGTTGCCCACCAAATGTACGCACCAGTTGTAGATTCTGGTCCCTTATTTTGTGTGTAATGACTACTTTGACAAAAAACTGGCTTCTACTGCAGTTTACAGCCGTGCAAATGCTGAATTTTGAATCCCACTTGTGTGMCGCCAAATAGTTTCACTTGCACGTGCCCCATAGTAGCTGTAGTACACAGTAAAAAGATAGCCCAAAATCGATGCACAGTAGAAAACAGGTAGAACATTAAGAGAGGTTTAACTCAAGCTAACCGCTATAACTTTGTCCCCAACAGACCCCTAAGTATGGTAAACACATGAGTCAAAAGCCAGTTTAAAAATGATTCCAGTCATATGGGGGAGTCAGTGGGTCCTAGTGGTATTTATCGATATACATGTACGTATACGGAGCATTAAAAATGTATGCATGGTTTGGTCAGAAATGCGTGGCCAAGCCTATACCATGATTTCTTTCATAGATTGAGTGATTTTAAATCAAAACTGAGAGTGAAGTTGTTGACAATCACTAGCTTTCCATCAGCAGGTAACACAAAGAGGGCAGTGGCAAGTCTACTTGAAGCTTCACTTCAGATATCATGTTCAAGTGCTTTGCACATGAAGTTTATCAAAGACCTTTTTGGATGGTACTTTCACAAGGTACAGTTTCCCCCTTCTCTCCATTAAGACAGAACATCTTTCATAAATCCACCTAGTATTGATTTTGAATGTGAATACAACAGCTTCATTACCACAATGGAGTCAACCTTGGTGAATATCATGAGAGACATGGCCCTCAGACACCTTGTCAGCAATACCTCCTAAATTAAGAAAGCAAAGTTTTTGAAGGAGGACAATTGAAGGAGGACAAAACATTTATCTTACTTCAATCTGGGGCTGATACCCACCAGAACTACATTATGTCATAGTAGATCTGATGGTGACCTCCTCAAATATGAACAACGCAACCAATTACCATCTGGCTTATTAGGATGTGGCAAGATTTCCACTCCTTCTTTGATCACAAAGCCTTTGCTATCCTTTCACTCACACATTGACATCAGTCTGTCTTTGACCATAAATTTTCTACAACAATTTCCTCCCAGTCCTCAAACAAAACAGCTTTGTGCTCACAACCCAACAATATCTTGTCTCTGGTAACTAGCTTGTTACCCCCATTGGGTCTGATGGTACTACAGAGGTCAAGATGGTACTCTGTTTGAATCCTTTGGTCTTCTTCATGCTTGTAAAGCATCAAACAATCCTGCTGGCACCATACAACACTACTACTAAAAAATCATTCACAGCAAAAATGGCCCAATTTCAATTCTTTCAACACTTGCAGACAAGGGCCTCTTAATGTGGCTGTCATCAACACAAACTATGAACAATATAAAGAGGATCCTTCACCAGTAGTGGGTTATCAAGAAGTATCAGGAAGACAGCAGCTCTCTGAAACTTTCCCAATTGACACAAATTTTGACACAAATTTTGACCTAAGTCAATTTTAATTTCATTCTTCTCCCCCACAACGGAACCAAGGAGGAGAATAAGGATCAATTCATTGCCAAAGTCTTCCAATGAGCCTCACTTTTGTATTATTGCTTGTTCTTGGCAAACATTGACAATCTTGTCAAGAATCACAAATCTCCAGATGATGCAACTGATGATAAGTATTTGTTAGTGGCAACCTTTGGAGTGGTTGGGGACAAGTTTGACTTGGTTACCTACTTAAACTTCAATGACAGCCTGAAGTGGCACGCCAACTCTATTGTTTTGAAACCAGCTAATGAACTTCTCCTATTGAGCCTCTGCTTGCTGCATTATGCTCCCTACATTTTCCACCATTTTGATTGTCTATGGAAATTTTCCCCTTGGGTTGGATTACAAGCTAAAAGGCCTCTGTTGTACCCACAGTTTGCCTGCAGACATTGTCATATGTACCCTTGTCCTTGTCTTAGCTCAAGATGTTCATGGAAGGGGAGGATACTCTGTACTATTCAGCGGGGGTTGGAGTCAATAGTCAGTTGGAGTGCCTTAGCCAAACACACCAGCTACCCCTATTATTATCAGCAGGTAGGAAGGAAATGGTCAAATTTTTATTGCACCAATCCCAGGAAATGATTTCAAAAAGTACTTTTTAGGAGACATGATGATGTGACCTTGTGTTGGGAATGCTAAAGAGACTCAATACCACAACTTCTTTGACAACAGCAGCAGCAATTAGGCATCTGAATTGAATGACTGGTTGTATGTCTACAAGATGGTCATCTCTGGTGGACCTCACCTGTGTCTGCTGTGGTATGTTTACACTCTTGAAAAAGAGGAAGCTTCAAGTCAAAGAGATTAAGAGAAAAAGGTGTCAGCCAGTGCAGTCAAAAACAAAAAGAAAAAATTGAAAACCAGGATGTTTGATCAGATTGGACTCCAATGCCACATTGGCTGGGGTTGGCTTATAGTACCCTTCAGACAATGACAAGAGAAGGTAGACAGTAAGCCAAAAATGTTTTCAACCTTCCACATAATGAAGCTAAATTTTAACAACTGTGGAATCAAAACCTGAACCCAAAAAGTTACCAATTTGACAAAAGAAATCCAGGTGTTCAAAGGCAAATGCAAAGGGTGGGGGGAAGAAACACCAGAAAACTTCAAATTTATGTGGTTGACAGAACTTGTCATTTGGTAGAAAATGATTCTCCTTTGCAGTATATCTAAAAGTTCTGTGTACTTTTTTAGGTTTCTAAATGTATTGACTGAACTAAGGACAATTCACCTTCTATCTGCAAGAATTTTCCATTTTGGGTGGAATTCTGCAACATGATTGTGCAATTACATTGTTGGATTTGCCAAGTTGTGTGGCAAAAACACCTTCTAACGAATTCTCCAATTGGTATAATATCAAAATGCTTTCAATAAAATCCAGGATATTGAGAGTGTGATTTCTGGACTTGGTATTGCCTAGAAAGGATAAGCCTTTATGAACTGATTTTTTTAAAAACTACTATGTTCACAAAGTACATACTAGAAAAATATGAATGGTGACCTTCTCATGAGTAGTAGTTGACTTGGCCTGGCAACAATGTGTAATGACAATTTGACAAAGTAGAGTCAAGGTCAATCTGGATACTAAGGGCAATTGATTTTGTAACGTCCCTGGACAACAAGGCTGGGATACTGAAAGTTCAAAATAACAGATACATGTGGGCACTTGATATTATCCTTCAGTTAATGCTGTGTGGTTGTCCTGCTTTCAAAGGACCAAGGAACAAAGAGTGCTATGATGGCCATGTTGGGATTGGACCAAAATCTGACACCAACAAAGTGGATTATTCTATCCCTAAAAGCTATGGTGTGAAGTTACTAGATCTGAAAGAATAGACATGTTGATTTTTCTGTTGGCATCACCCTCTTTGTGCTAGTGCACTTGGTGTTTGTGTTAAGGTGGATAAAATCTATTATCAACAATGGACCAATTTTTCAGACAATGACCTTTATGCAATCATGAAAGGGGAACATAAGCACAATATGTGCCACAATGAAAAAACATTCTTTAGGTTATTGTGGGTACAAAAGAAAACTGGAAATATCTGAACAGTAGAGATACTGCAACACATCATTATCACAAGATAAGGGTACGGACTGGAGATTGCTATTACATATTGGAGCTGATTCATTTGGATCCATACTTCTACTATTTCAAAACCTTAAACATACTGCTTTGTCAAGAAGATGGCAACAAAGTTCTTGAGTTTTTTTGACAGATAACAAGTTGTGCAACAAACTCATCACCGAGTAGTTCTTGAGCTGTTTCATAACATTCTTTCTCCAAAATTTTTACCTTCATTGGGGCAGATAATAATCTTTTTTCAATGGGCATTGTTGTGATTACATGATGGACATCAGGTGTGGCGTTTACAGTATCAAAGATTGTTATAGAGGTCTGACTCAAGAGCATCCATTGCAGACTCTATCATGTCATGACTGACTCCTTCAACTGAGGGGTTGTAAATTACTTGGTTGTCAATATTTTCTTGCATACTGTTCTTGGGTCCACTGTGGGTATTCTTGGTTACTAGGCCAAACCTTTTACTACTACTAACACCCACCTTGTCCTAGGTGGTTTTGTAGTACAGAGAAGAACAAATGAAATTGTCGACTCTGTAACCACAGCAAGTGTAATATTGAAAGTAAATTAGTATACTATTGCCAAGACAAGTCAGAATTTTGAAGAGGTGCTGATAGCTCCTGTTTTTTGATTTGTTTGGCACTGAAGAATTCTGGACTCTGGTTACAATTATCTCTGGATGGGTGACAATTTTGGCCAAACAACTCCAGCTTACAGCATGGTGGAGCCATATTTGCTACTAAGGTATGGAGAGAGGGGAAGTGATATGGTGGGGAATGCTGTCTGAGATAATGGCTATAAAGAAAACCAGAGTGTTTTTTGCTGGGGAGATGAGTAGCTATTATTCATGCATGCAACATAATGTTGGGTGACTTTTAGGAGAATAAGCAAGTTCCAAATCCAGAAACATCATGTTCTCCAAAAAGAGAGTAACAAAAAATTTCAATACACCATTTATTCTTCAGTGAAAAACTAATGTTAGGCTCCAAATATTTGATTGCGTTGACTGTACAAAATGTCCTGTACTCCTGATTAAGTTTGTGTGATGTTGTTCTTGTCACCATTTTTACCAAAAATGATTGTCACTACAAAAATCACCACCAGGTGAATCATGCTTCTGCATCGTCCATCTACTCAATACTTCTTTAGTTGTTGTCAAATGAAGTAGCTAGTAATAGTGTTCATTCTACCACAATATGACAGAACTTCTTGTTTAATTTGAAGTACTATACTAGTACTGCTACTAGTAGTACTTCTTGTTTGAATTGAAGTCTTTTCTTGTTGAAGAACAATAGAACTTAACTCAAACCAAAGTTTAAAAGAACCACCCAGTTGTTACCAGCTTTGTGATCAATTTATTTGTTTTTAATTGTGCAAACCAACATGGATTGATACTAGTAGTACTAGTACTAGTGGGACAGGAATGGTGACAGAGTATTACTTGTACTAGTACTAGTACTACCAGTACTAGTACTACTACTAGTACTTCTTCCTTTTTGAACTACTAGGGAGAGAACTACAATTATTATTAGTAGCTGGTAGTAGTATTATCATAGTTCTACTACTATTACTAGTAAGAACAAAACAGATCATTTCCAAAAATATCATAGCAACAATTCAATACAAGAAGTACTACATCAAACCACCTTGCTTCCTTAGCTCCAAGTCTTCGGTACAGAAGCTGTGGTGGTTTTGCATTTTCTAATGAAACCCAAGTTTTTGTGATACGCAAAGCGCTGACTGCTTGTATCCAGCTCATACGGAACCAAGCCCACTGTTCTAGCTTTGAGAATCGCAGAAAAGCCTAGTCACACCAAGTTTCTGTGGTCCGCAAGCGTACCAAGATCTCAAACCAATCAGCCGCAACATCATTGTTTTTGAATCCAGCAAATGCAGCTACGGCGCGAGTATTGCAATCGAGGTCTAGTTGCAAACACGTAATTGAAAAATTAACATTAACTGTATTTTGTATTCTTATTGATTCCAGATGGCATCGCCTCATTCATTTAATTTATTGTTGCATCCGACGTACCGGTATCTAAATGCCCTGTATTTGAACACGATCCGATGCACAATTATCTCACCCCTATTTCTATACACGCACGCGTGAAGAATATCCAATATCCACAGCAACACATCAAAGTTTTTGGTCCCCGACGCCAACCAGCGCAGCTAAACAATCCTACCGATCCAACACTCGATTCAAAAACTGGAAAGGCGGACACAGCTTTCCCTGGCTCTCTAGCCGCTGCTCTTTTCTCCCTCCAACAGAGATTCCATAATCTCATCTCTCAGTATGTCCCGGTGGTCGCGCAGCTGGGTCCCATAGAACGTCATCATCTGGCATATCCGCTTGATCTGTGATTGCATGTTGTCAAAGAGCATCAGGAGCGATTCCATGCGTTCCCCGGAATCCTGGACCTTGCGGCGCCGCTTCGGGGGGTTCCCCCCACCCGTCTCGGCCTTGGCCCGGCGGCGCCTCGAAGGCCTTTTCGTTTTCTTTTCCTGCGCCGCAGCGGGTGGCGAGGGGTGGCCCGGGCCTTCCCCCTCGTCGGGGGTCCTGCTCTTCCTGGCGCGGTCGACGCGGGCCGGTGCCCTGGCCCGCCGCGTACTCCTTGGTGGTTTGTCCCGCATCCTGGCGAGCGCAGTCTGGTTCGGTCGGACGTGCTTGTTCATCAGGGCGAGGCATTCCTTGATTTTTTTCGTCAGGACGGAGCTGACCTCGTGGGTCTTGTTCAGGAGGAGGAGGGTCTGAAAGGCCCTCGCCACGAATATCTCACACTTGTAGCAGCTCGATTTTTGGGTTGCAAAGACAAAGGAGTCCTCGTCTTTTGTCGATAGGAGGTTCGGGAAGTCTTCCGTCAGGTGCCATGTGTCCATGGCTTCTAGGACGATCCGCGTGCACTCGAGGTTCCGGGCGACCGCCTGCAGGAGGCTTTCGCTTCCCCTCGCGAACCGGTGCTCGTGCAGGCAGAGAAGGAGCGACCCCTTCGGGATCAAGCCGAAATCGCCGTCCCGGATCTTTCCCTCCCTCCAGTTGGCGCTGTACAAAATACCGGATTTTCCGATTTCGTAGTGGGCTTTGTAGAGATCGAGGGCTAGTTTGTCTCCCACCAGAGCTGCTAGTTTGGGGTTGATTTCATCGTTCCGTTTTCCGGTATAGTGCAGCATCGTCCTCAGTTCTTCGAAACAATCTTCGCCCACCTCCGCACACTCGTAGCCCTCGTAGGGAGATTTCTTGATTTCAAGCATGGACTCAATGTCTCCCCAAATGTGTTTTCTGACTTTCTCTGGCATGGTCGATGTTTCACCGGAAGTTTTGGCGGAAGCTTTGGGCGAGGCCTTGCGGATTGGATCCGAGTTGGTCTCGTCGTCGTCTTTTTCGTCGTCGTTGTCATCTTCGCCATCCATGTTGTAGTTGCCCTCGGTTTCGTCCACGTCGACGCTTTCGCTTTCGCTGTTGCTGTTGGATTCCTCTTCGTCCTCGCCTTCCACATACTCTTCGTCGCCGTCTTCTCCGCTGTGGTTTCCCTTCGCAGCCTTCGTTTCGTACTCGTTTTTGGCATTCTGGTTGGTGCCACTCAGGACAAAGGCGCCCGATGGCGAATCGCTCTCGCTCTCGCTGTTCGAGGAGGTGGAATCGTCGATCTCGATGGGATTGAGCTCGCCACCGGATTCCTCAATCGATTCGTCGCCGACACTGCTGTCCCCGCTCACTAGAGACGACATTTGACCCGGGCACGCTCGGTACGGTACGGTACGAGCTGCGATGCAATTCGGTGCGATGCAATTCGGTGCGGTGCAAAAAAACCGGTGCCACTCGAGTGTCGAATCCGCCTTCGATGGAAGCCGGCAAACGCAGCAACAGAAACAAGAACAACGGATTGACTCGGTAATGAGTGGTCCAGTCTCCTTATTGCACGAAGACAAGAAAGGCAGGGTTCTCGGCGCCTTGTGTGCCTCGGATCCGATCAATGCAAGTCAAGTGTTTGCTGTGTGGTGGTTGATGTGTGATGCTCCACGGTACTGGTATCGCAAGGTACGGCACGATATTCGAAGGTTGGACCTCGTACATGTTATGTTCCTTTACGGTAGGGTACCTGGTACTGTACGTAGTTGGTACCGTACTGTTCAGATTCAGACTGTTCGAACCGTATCAGTCATGAATTTTTGCCGCCACATGGTTAATCATGCTTCTTGCCGGTACTGTTACTGGAAACCTACCGTTCGGTTTCTTAGTTACTCAAAATCTACCGATCGGATTAAAAACATCTTTCTTTACTGGAAATCTACCGATACTCTTTCTTCTTATRTATTTCAACCTTTTTTTAACCTCCGACCAACAATGACACGTGCTTCCTAAACTAAATTTCTTTGATGTTATYATTATTTTAAATAACGTATATTTTATACTTCCTGTCRAACGGAAACACATCATTGATTTCTTTTCAAATTTCCGCTCATTTTTTTGGAACCATTTCTTGAAATCTATCAACCGATTCATTCTTTACTCAAAATCTACCGGCCAATTTTCCTATTTCTTCGCTCCCATTATTTTCTTGTATTATTTTGCCATTGATAATTCACACCTTCCTTCCACCCTCCACCTCATTTTACTAACATATACCGCTACCTATCATATCATTTCTTGAAACCTACCATTTCTGACAATTCCTAATTCCTATGTGATCGTGTCTTCAAAAATCTACCGAACGCATGTGATCGCGGCAATGAAATTATTGATTTCCTGTGCTGTCTCGTCCAAGCGTCCAGCAAACGATGATTACGCGTCTTTTCTATTTCTTCCCACTCTTATTCATTGTCGGCTTTATTTCTATTTCTTCCGACTCTTATTCATTGTCGGCTTTATTTCTATTTCTTCCGACTCTTATTCATTGTCGGCTCTTTTCTTTTCTTCCCAGTTCATGTCATTACCTGTAATTCTTCTCATGCCTCCAAGTACGTTTCTTTCCGTTACTCCATTTCTTTCGGCTTATTTTTCCTCTTTTTTTTATCCCTCTCATCCACGACCACATTCTTTTGTTCTTGCAATATGATTTTTTTTCTTCCCTTATGCACTACTAAGCATCCTTTGCTGTTGAAAATAAACGACTGCGACGATCAACGTCTGAGAAATTTCGGATCATCGATTCTCCGTCCATTCACGAAAATCCTCCTTCCATTTTAGTTCTAGGTTCGGCGGGTAACGTGTACCGCATTTCTTTTTCTGAGACCTCCTTTTCCTGCTCCTGTCCTGATGAAGTTGTCCCTTGCAAACATCTTCTCTTTCTGTGTTCTCTTTTCAGACATTTTAAAATCACCGGTAATGTTCTCAGAATCAATATTTCCGATCTYGTGATGGGCTTGCGACTGTTGCACCCCTCGCTTCATCTAAATCCCCTTTCAAACGAAATGTGCTTACGGCAGATTAGAGGTGAATGTGATATTTGTTCGTCTTCATTGCCCACTTCCGACGTCCTTGTATGCAACCTCTGCTCAGGACTGTTCCACTGTGAACATTTACAACAATCAAATAAATGTCCAACATGCGGACAGTTTTGGAGTCCATATCTATCGGATTTCATCGGGAGATATCGCAATTTATCCMAATTTTTGACCCGAACTTCGTACAGGCACACACACAAGAATCAACCCCCGTCTCTAGTAACAACAGTACCCTCGGTGAACACAAATTCTGCCGAATTTACTTTTAGAGACTTATTGTCCTCCGTCCCCCAATCCCCAACTASGGATCTTTCTCTATTAGCCGAACTGCGGGATGTATAGCACTGGTCATGTGGCGGCGAGTTTGTGGTTCGATTTTATTACTTAAGAGTTGAAATACCTAATTTTTTTTTTWATTCGTTAATATGGTGTACATAAAAGTCGACCAGCTATAAAGCTACTTCTTTGCCCTCTTCTTCTCTTGTTCGCTTTCACCGATTGGATCATCATTTTTGCGCTTTTTGTCTTCTCCGCTCGTAATCAAAGTAGCTATCTTTTCGTTCGAAGCTACAACACCGTTCAATCCCTTGGTAACTTGTACACTCATATCCCCTATGGCGTCTGCCATTTGTTGAATGGCTCCGGTCATATTATTTGAGGCCTTTGTCATGTCGTTGCTCATTTGTTGTGACACAACTTTCAAGTCCTTCAGGCCCTCGTTCAATTCCAACATTCGTGGCTTGTTAGGGGKCACGGAATTCTTTTTCCTTCMCCTTTTTTTCATCGGTTCATATACACATAATTCAGGGTCCTGCATCCTCTTGTTCGATTCAGCTACACAATTCCCACATGGGAATTTCTCGTCACATACCAGTTTGAGTTTTAGACATCTGGCACATGGACCTTTATTTCTTGGCCTATTTTTCTCTTCGCAATTTACGCGAACTGATTGTGCCCACAATTYACACGACTYGCAAGGAACCTTCCCTTTCCCGGGACATTTCTTCTTGGAAGTCAGACATCTTTTGCACGATGTCCTCAGAGTAGTCGGCGACATCATCGGTGATTCTGATTTGTGCCTATCAACCTCTTCTTTATCTTTGCCATCTTCGGACAAATTATCCAAATCTTTGTCATCATCTTTGCCATCATCGATGTACGGCGGATCGTCATCGTTTTCTTCTTCTTCGTCATCGTCAACAGCGTACTTAATGTTTTTAGTCGCCGCTCTCCTTTTTCGACGACCACTTTTTTCACCATGGGGCGAGGCGTCAGAGGCGTCACTTTCTTCCCCCCCCCCTTCCGTCTTTTCTGTCGGCRATTTTTTTTCCTTATCCTTGTTATCGATTTTGTTCTTCCCGACTCTATTCTTTGGTTGCTTTCCCGT